TCTCTCTCTCTCACACACACACACACACACACGATGCGCAAAACTCCGCATTTGAACAGTCAATAGCAAATACTTAAACTAATAACAAAACAGTAGCTGATTCAGAAGCGCCAGATTGTCATAGCAAAGTCAGAATTACCTCCTCTCCTAGGTTCATGAAATGGTCGTCCATAAAATGCATTGCTGTTCTGTTGTAAGTAATCTTAAAGATTCCTAAATGCATCTACTTCCGGAAGGCCAAATAAAGTGCTTTTGCCTAGAAACACACAGCGTCTCCCTGACATGGCTGCTTCAACACTAACTGCGGTTACTGAAACCACGCCTTCTTTCTTTGCGTGAACATTTGGGCGGCATTACGCAAATATTTCCACATAGTGAGGTAGATATGTGGGGGCGTGTTAGAACGAGCCATTTTAGGGGTGTGTGGCAGAGTCTTAACTTTGATAAACAATATCTCTTTGGTTTTGAGACTTTAGTCTTTGCAACTTCAGGGATCTTATCTATGCACAATCAGCTTGTAACACTCCAAAGAGAAAGGAAAACTTGAAATCGCATCATATGACCCCTTTAAAGACTTAAATATTCATCTGTACCTCACATTAAACTATGGAACGGTCTCAGAACACTTGAAATATAGTGCACGGGAACTTTATGGTGCTTTATAATGTTTTCGTGGGGCTTAACAATAACACAATAGTATACGCACAATAACGGATTTGGACCGATACCCCGATCAAGCAGAAAGTGTTAGTATCGGAGCGATACCGATACTAAATAACGGATCGGCACACCCCTACCTTTTATATGGCTCGAAAGCACAGACTCTTACATGAAATACAGACTTAGCAGGAGGCTACTCAAGTATTTAGCTCTTGTTTTAACCATATTTGTCATTTTCAAGCAATCGCTGACTGAATTGGCAACCTCCCGGCATGTTATCTCCCGCTCTGCTCCATCAGAGGGTGCGCTGCGTGCGTTAATAAAGATAACACTACAGCCACACGCGCAGACTTGAGCAGAGCTGTTTTAGGCTAATTTTATGTAAAAAAAAAAAAATTTTTAAATGACTAACTATTCAGTAAGAAAGTGATTTATTATTACACCAATGCAACTGCATTTTCAAGCACTCTATCCAAAATCCAAGCATTTTTCAAACCTTGAAAACACTACATTAAAATTCAAGCATTTTCAAGGAATTCAAGCACCCGTACAAACCCTGGAATGATTTCCGAAGAATCATGTGACACTGAAGTCTGAATCTTTTCCATCACAGAAATAAATCACATTTTAAAATATATTAAAATAGAAAATATTTATTTTAAACTGTGATAATATTTTATTAGGTTACTGATTTTACTGAATTTTTGATCAAATAAATTAACCTAAGTGAGCACGGGAGACATCTTTCAAAAACATTAAGAAATCTTACTGGCTCCAAATTTTTGATGGTAGTGTAGATAGGGCTTTCTTAAAAATAATAATAATATTAATATGTTTTAAGCCAGAACATCTAATATAAAGCATTACCTTCACTTGTCTGGTTAAAGCATTATTCATCACTTACTAAAATACTCAATACAGTTTTGTAGATCAAATAAAAGGCTTTTAGTAGATGGTTACAATGTGAAACTGTCGGTTAAGTTCAAAAGCAAGGTTGTAGAGTGCTATGCGTGTTTTATAGGGCTTTAAAAACCACATCGGCCAGAGTCCACATGAAATTGTGCGGCAAGCACATGACAAACCTGTAATGCTTTCAGTGGAGGAGTGTAATCACAGTTTATACCTCCTCCATGTGTAAAGGTCAACAGCTTAAGTTTCAAAGTTATTACAACGTCTTTAAATCTACATATCTGCTCAATGGCTATTTATATACGTTCCTGTAAAACAGTTTTATGCCCTGAACTCATTTATCTGTTGTTTAACTTGTATTAAGGATTACGTTCTTAAATTCTTAAAGGGACAATTCACGCATAAATGAAAATTTGTATGACTTTCTTTATTCTGAAGACTGTTTTAACTATTTTTGCATATACAATGAATGTCATTGGAGTCCAAAACAACACTGAACCCCATTAATGTTTATTGTATGAAAACACACACACATACACACTCACAGACATTTAAAAAAATATCTTATTTTGGGAACTCCATACTTCTTATACATGAGTGCTATATGTAAGGTCTTTATAAATTTTTGTCATTTTTATCATTCTTCTTTTCTTTCAGTTCTTTGCCATAGTGGTGACTCTGTTATACGGAGCTAGCAGCTACTTTGCCTATTTGGACTGGATGGGTGAAGGGCAAAATGCAGCGGCGAGTACAGTGCCTGTGTAGACCATCCTCTGATTAACATTCTCAGTCACTATGTGAGGACACTTCGAAGGTGATATTATTCAGATTATTTGGCACTGCTGAAAATCCTCTTCAGGAACGTCCAACAACCCTTCTGTATAATGGTGCCGTGGGGTCAGTAAGATTTTTTTAAAAGAATGAAATTAATTATTTTACTCAGCAAGGATGCATTGGATTGATCAAAAGTGACAGTAAATACATTTATAATCTTACAAAATATTTTATATTTTAAAAAATGCTGATATGGGATCGGGAAATGTTCGCAAGCCGGGATTCGGGATACCCGAAGCGCAATGGCGCTGCATGTCGGCACACTTCCCACTAGGCTATCAGCACCTAGAAACACTATTTTAAATTGCAATAACATTTCGCAGTATTACTGTTTTTATTGTATGTTTACAGTGGCCGAGAGAGCTCGACGCGCTGCACATGCAAACACGTGCAAATAGAAAAAGCACTAGCAAATTAAGAACATCTTCATCAGTTTGACAGCACGTGCTGCAAATGCTCACAACACAAACAGAAACGTGCAAGTAGCACAGACCGCAATAAAATTACCCCATTAAAATTGACCATGTTTTTGTTTTGTTTTTTTGGCGTATTGATTACCATTTGTATAATCACAGTTGTACAAATACCATGGTTAAACTATGGTTAGTGTAGTAAATCCATGGTTAATTTGTGCATGGTTACCATGGTTAACTATGGTAACCATTTTTTTAAATTTTTTTTATTATCAATGTATTAATTAACTTTAATAGTAAAACCATAGGTTATGGCGTTTTTTTGTAAGGAAAGTTGTAAAAGTAAATTAACCAGCTTACATAACCTTTCAGTTACAGTAATTGTGTATTTCGTCAGTTTATTTAGGCTAATAATAATAATAATAATAATAATAATAATAATAATAATATTATATATATATCCCAGCCATGTTTGTCACTTCACTGTTCCTTTAAACATTTCCGAGGTGGCCTATTTGCAGCGCGTTTCTTTGTTTGTGTTGTGAGCATTTGCAGCACATGTGTTGTCAAATTGATGATGTTTTCTTAATTTGCAGGTGTTTTTTCATTTGCAGCGCGTTGAGCTCTCTCGGCCACCATAAATGAGTGAATGACTGAATCGTTCATTAAATCAAACACTGATTCACGAATGAAATGAAAGTGAATCGAAGT